TCTTCGGCGACTCGTACTTCACCTCCATAACGTGCGGGAGGGCTCCGGCAAGTCCAACTCGATGGACGCCATCTTCCTTCGTGCTTGGCGTCAAGTCGTCCCAGCTGCGGTCCGACAAGCTGAAGGACATGATCTACCGCGGCAGGATCATCCGAGAGGCGCGCATCAATGCAGACGGCACGGCGACCGAGGCTGGTGCAGACGAAAACGGCGACACGAACGGCGACGCGAATGGCGACACCCAGGAGAACGGCGAGTCGCAGACCAGCACCCAGCGCAACGACCCGCAGAACGCCTGGGTCAAGGCCGTCTTCGAGGACGACGCCGAGCAGACACACGAATGGCAGCGCACCATCACGAGCTCCGGCGCAAGCGAGTACCGCATCAACAACCGCCAAGTCACCCAGAAGCAGTACAACGATGCGCTCGAGGAGCACAGCATCCTGGTCAAGGCGAGAAACTTTCTCGTCTTCCAGGGCGACGTCGAGAAGATTGCGACCATGGCGCCCGATAAGCTCACCGAGCAGGTCGAGCGCATTTCTGGCAGCTTGGAGCACAAGGCTGACTACGACCGCCTCAAAACCGAGTCCGAGGCTGCGACCGAAGACAATGCGAAGCATCTGCACGAGCGTCGTGGCATCAACGGTGAGCTCAAGACTTACCAGGAGCAAAAGGCCGAGGCGGACGAGTACGAGAAGAAGATCGCCGAGCGAGACGAAGCAGTCGTGACAAAGACGCTGTGGAAGCTCTTCCTCTACCAGGAGACCATGGAAAAGGCACGGAACAAGATCGCCAGCCACCAAGAAGAGCTGCAAGAGCACAAGCGCAGCGTCGAGAAGTACAACAAGAAGCTGGAAAAGGAGCGGCAAGAGGAGGGCCCAGAATCAAGGCGCGACGTTTCCAAGACAGACCGCAACATCAAGGACAAGGAGCGCGAGATCGAAGACAGGAACAACGAGCTTGCGCCAATCGAGGAGAAGATCAGGCTGACCACCGACGCGCGCAAGAAGTACGAGAGCAAGATCGGCAGCCTCCGGAAACAGCGGGATGACGAAGCAGCAAAACTGAAGAAATTCCGCAAGGACCTGGATGTCGTCGAGAAAGCAGCCAAGAAGTGGGAGGACGAGTTCAAGGCTGCCGCTCAGCGCCAGGGCCGCGAGCTTTCTGAACAGGATCTCCAGGAATACAACAAACTCCGTAGCGATGTTACCAAACGCACTCATGGTGATCAGATGCAAATCGACAAGCTCAAGCGCGAAGTCGACACCAACCGCGACCATGTCAGGAATCTGCAGCAGAGCGTTGAAAGCCACGAGAATGCCATAGAGAAGCTGAACGCAGACATCCGCCAACTCGAGGAGCGCCAACGGGAATTGAAAGACAAGACCAAGGATTTGAATACGACCAGGGCCACCAAACAGCAGGAAGTCAACAAACTCCGCTCGGATCGCCAGCAGCTCGAGTCCCAATACGAAGAGAAAAACCAAGTTTTGCGAGAAGCACTTAAGCAGCTTAAAGTAGTCGAGGGCAATCGTCAAGAGTCAAGAAAATTACAAGAAGCTCGCAAGGCGATCGACCGCTTGAGAACTCGTCTCGGTCCAGACAAAGTGCATGGTCGCTACAGAGATTTGATCAGCCCCAAGCAAGAGAAGTACAGCAAAGCCATGGGTAGAGTCCTGGGACATCAAATGGAGACCGTCATTGTCGACACTGAAGCTACCGCCAAAGAATGCATTCAATACCTGAAGAATGAGAGGATCGGTATCATGACTTTCAACCCACTTGATTCCATCCAAATCCAAGCAGTCGATCCGCAACTGAAGGGCGCACACAAGGGCATGCGTCTCGCCATCGACTGCATCAACTACGACCCAAAGCATGAGCGAGCCATGGCTGCTGCTTGTGGAAGCACCATGGTTTGTGACAACGAAAAGGTTGCCAAGGAGCTTCGATATGAGCGTCGCATCCAAGCCAAGGCTGTCACCCTTGATGGCCGTGTCATTGGTAAAGGCGGAACGCAGACTGGAGGTGAGGTGAAAGGAGACGATGGGTTCAAGGAGCAGCAATGGGACGAGCGGTCTTACCAGAAACTTGCAGACCAAGTGCAACGCTGTCAGAACGAATTGGCCGCACTGCCCAAGCTAGACCGAAAGCAGGAACAAGAAACACAGCTTGAAGTCGAGGTGCAGTACCTCCAGGATCAGATCAATCGCGCCAACGAGGAATCCAAGACGCTCACTCGGAATATCGACAGTCTCAAGAAACAGATAGCGCACCACAAGGGCGAGCTACGCGGTGTTCGACCAAACTATGAAGAGCAAACACGACGGCTCCAGAACAGTGAAGCTGAGCTGCAAAGGTTGCAAGATGCGGTAAACCAGGTCTCGGACGAAATCTTTTCTGATTTCTGCCAACGTCTCGGATACGACTCCATTCGCGACTACGAAGCACAACAGGGTACGGTTCAACAAGAAGCGGCTGAGAAGCGAGGAGAATTTTCTCAGCAGCGCATGAAGCTCCAGTTCATGCTCAAGCAGACAGAGTCACAACATGCTGCTGCAGAGACACGCCTGCAAGCAGCTGAGGATCAAATCAAGAACCAGATAGCCATCATCACAGAGCTTGAAGAAAAACAAGAGGGCCTGCAGAATGATATCGATGTCCTTATGGCGGAGCTTGAGACATTGAAAGAGCAACGTGATCAGCTCAACGAAAAGTTGACGGAACGCGCTGCTGCCGTCAGAGAGGCACGACGAGTATTGGACCAGCGGAACGACAAGGTGAAGAACGTCATCAAAGAGGTGACCGAGGAGGATGCAAAGATCAAGACTTGCGCAACCAACAGATTCAATGTCCTCAAAGACTGCAGAGTGAACGAGATCAACATACCGCTCACTGCAGACTCAAAGCCTCTTGCATCTCTTCCGATGACTGACGCGCCTCGTCCAGATGCTGATGCCATGGACATTGACGAAGACCCTGATTCTACGCAGATCGAGCCTGCCCAAGTTGACGACTTTGGTATCGATGTCGATTTCGAAGAGCTTGACGAAGAGCTGCGCACCGAACTTGTCGAGATCCTTGAGAACGAGGACGACGCCGACTCTCGCGTCCAACAACAAGCATTGGACGCCCTGCGCGAGGCCGAAGCCAAACTCACAGACCACATCACCCGCCTCGAAACGGACATCAACAAAGCCACGCCCAACATGCGCGCCGGTGAACGTCTCGCCGCGACTGAAACCCGCCTCAAAGAAGTCGATGAACACTTTGCTGAGACACGCAAGCGCGCCGCTGCCGCGAAGAAAGCCTTCGAAGACGTCAAGCAGAAGCGCTACGACCTGTTCATGAAAGCCTTCAACCACATCTCCGAGAACATTGGCGGCACATACAAGGACCTGACCAAGTCGCCACAGTTCCCACTCGGTGGCCAGGCCTACCTCGACATGGAAGACTCCACCGAGCCCTACCTCGCCGGCCTCAAATACCACGCCATGCCGCCCCTAAAGCGTTTCCGCGACATGGAGCATCTCTCCGGTGGTGAGAAGACGATTGCCGCGCTGGCTTTGCTGTTTGCGATTCACAGCTACCAGCCCTCACCTTTCTTCGTGCTGGACGAAGTAGACGCCGCGCTTGACCACGTCAACGTCTCGCGCGTCGCCCAATATGTGCGCGAACACGCTTCGCCTGGTATGCAGTTCATTGTAATCAGTCTCAAGAGCACGTTCTTCCAGGAGAGCGAGACGCTGGTGGGTGTCATGCGCGATCAGGCGAAGATGACGAGCAAATATTTGAGCTTGGATGTAAGTTTGATATTGAATTTTTGCTGCAGATTGATCAGATTACTAATACTTTTTGTAGTTGAGGAAATATGTACCAGATGCGCAGGCTGCGGCATAGCTGTCTGTTTGACGTGATTATGATATAGCCGTCAGCCGAGGTCTAGCTAGGCGAAATGAGTGCAGTGTATACCTGTCGTCGCTTCGATCATGTGGGTTTGTCGTATTGTTTCCGAGGTTCCATAGTTTGGACACCTTTCATACTGCTATCTCGTATAGTATCGCAACAAAGCCGTTGAATACCAATCCGATCCATCTGCAGAAATGATTGAAGACAATTCCGAGAACATGCTGAGTGTACGAATGTCAAGCAGGAGCGCCACCAACCCGTATATAATGCTTGGCAAAAGCCATAGCTACGTACACGCCTAGGTAAGGTAATTATGGCTCGATGCCACATGCATCGCATTTAGAACTGTGTATCATGGCCAAAAAATATGTCCACGCGCCTCTGCGCACCCCACAAACCATCCGAATACTAAACCTCCAAGGCGACAGTAATCCCGCATCTCCAATCCAGCTCAGCCTTGTGCAGTACGAATTGTCAAACCTTCCTGACTTCGAAGCGTTTTCCTATACTTGGGATGGTCAAACGGCGACTTGCACAGTACTCTGCGAAGAACGTGATCTCATGGTCACGTCGAACTGCGAGGCAATCTTACGCGAGTTTCGCCCAAAAGAAGAACTTGCGACTCGAGCTGTCTGGATCGATGCAATTTGCATCGATCAGAGTACAGATGCCATGGCCGAGCGGAGCTTTCAGATCCCGCTGATGGGGCAGATATATCGACGAGCTGGGAGGGTGCTCGGGTGGCTTGGGGCTGCGGGCGAACGGGGCGGGAATCTGGGTACTTTTGAGAGCTTGGCGAAATTGACGAGAGTGGGTATGAATAGGAACAGAGGGGATCTAATTCGTGATGTCGATGAAGCTATGGGATGCACAAGTCCGGCAGGTACGTTCCTCAATCTCTAGCTTTATACATGGCTGGGTATGCGCTAATCAATAGCGAACGCAGATTTACTGGAAGTTGTTCCTAAGTGTCCCTTGGTTCACGCGTCTGTGGGTTTTACAAGAAGTTGCACTCAGCAAGAAGGCTGTCATCTTCTGTGGCTCAACATCTGTCACTTTCCAGGACGTGCCCCGGGTTCAGGCTTTGCTGGGAGCTCAAGGACTCCCAACTACCCATGCGGCGTTACTCGACGCACTCGTCGTGGGCTTTGACTCGCGCATCTCTGCCCTGGAAAGTCTGGAGACGGCAGATCGGAATGTAAGCGTGACTGTCGAACTTATGCGGCATGCACGGTGGTCGAAAACGACTGAGGCAAAGGACAAGGTCTTTGCGCTTTACGGATTGCTCGAGGCATATGGTTTGCTTCTACCGCAGCCCGACTATTTGATGTCACTTGGGGGCATTTTTGGACAAACTGCAAGAGCACTGATTACTTATACTCGCAAGTTGGAGATTGTTCATCAGGTGCATGGTATGAGCGAGATCAAAGACCTCCCGTCCTGGGCACCAGACTGGTCTCGGACGAGCTATCCTCAGCAACCCTCGGTCCCTGTCTGGGCAGTACAAGACGCTGGAGACTAGAGCTGGTCGTTTTGCAGCAACGAGAAACACTTATCGGTAAGCGGTAGAATACTGGACCATGTCTCCGAATGCGCAGACACTGCCATATCCTACGCCCCCAATGGCAACGATGAAGCCGTCGAAGACTTCTTCCCAGCAATTTCCACACTCAACGAGGATCTCAGGCGCGCAGTTCATCATCTATACAACATTCGAGCGCTTCGAGAAATCATAAGTTTCGCACTGCACAAGCATCCACCTTCTCTCTCGCTCGTTCAGACACACGCCCTCCAAGCCTGCCTACTCAGCCGTACGCCCATCCGATTCTCATACGAACCATCCACCTTCTCCCTCTGGCTCAATCTCCTGCACAGCTCCGAACGCCCGTCGTCGTCCCCTCCACCACCTCCCTCAGCAAGCACATTCCCGAAAAACTGGATGCACGCCGTCCTCACACAAATCTCCTCCTCCATCGCTCTATCCCCGCTGCTCGCCACCCCCGAACACACTTTCTTCCAACGCATCGCGCTTGACCCCGCACTCATGGAATTGCACGACCACATATCAGGATACATTTCGCACCAAACGCTTTTCAAAACGCGGAGTGGGAGGCTGGGCATGGCGCCGAGGTCTGTGGCGTGCGGTGATCAGATTGCGAGGTTGGCTGGCTTGCAGTATCCGATGGTCGTGAGGGCGAGCGATGGTGGGTGCTGGAGGCTTGTTGCGCCTGCGTTTGTGTGTGGGGTGGGTGGTGAGGTGGGAACCGGGAATGACGGGGAGGAGAGGGGGTTTGTCATCAGTTAGGAGGTCTCGTTACAATCAACACTGCACAGCTCAAAACGAGTATGCAGATTGAATAGTGCTTTGCGGATGTGGCAACTGTCTGGAGGGATTTGTTAGAGACCGATCTTAAGACCTAGGACGACTGCGCCTCTTGGAAGCTGTGGCCACGTGTGACTGTTGGGATTTGGACTGTGCCACTATGGTTGAAGCGCGTATTTCAGCGTCAAGATCTGCATGTCGGATGGTGTGACTATCATCAAAACACATAAATCACCGTCACTGCTTTTATGTGAGTAAGTTCTAGCCTTTCCTCATTAGACACTATAAAGTTGTTGCTGGTGAATACCCGAACTCCAAACTCCAGCCTTACCGATTTACCTACCATTCCACACGCGCACACACACGCACTACAGCCAAGTACCAGCAAAGGAACATGAAGCTCTACTTTCTCGTCGTGCTGCTGGCAGCATTTATTATGCCACTCGCTGCTGTGCCTGTCGCTGTTGTGCTTCACAGTAAGTGACACACGAAGGCCGGACAATGACTCCTCCCAAACTTACACATCGTTCTGCACAGATAAAAGGGCATCTATTTCATACCTCAGACCTCGTACAGGGGCATTCACCGTCGAACTCGGCCAAAACGGCGTCGCCCTGGGCAGCAGCAACAACGTCCTAGAAGAAACAGCAGACGCAATCAGGCATGGCCTGCGTACCGCCTGCCCCGACGGCACCGCGCAAGGGTGCACTAATGGTGTTGGAACGTTTGCTGGCTTATTCGAAAAGGAAATCACTGTCACCGTCATGTCAGCGAAATGGGGCGGCAATCGCGAAGTGTACGATATCCTGATGGATGCCGTCGCCCTCCTTGCTGTCAATGGCGTGGGGCCTGTGACTGGCAGGAAATGTACCGATAACACCTATTGCACGACGTGGGATCGATTCAACGTGACGTTCAAGGATGGGTTGTGGCACATGAACGTGGCGCTCGAGAATAAGTACAACGTGTACAACACCCATGACTGCTATAAGGGTTTGCAGAACGCGAAGAACGTCCTATCAGATTTGCAACCCAGGATGGAGAAGGCGTCCGACGATGGGGACGTCTATGTCGATGCGACTTGTTATGATCCAAACAAGAAGTCGGGCTAGGTATGTCAAGCGAGTCAATCAGTGAAGGTCAATCACTTTCTTTGTATTAAAAGTGATAGAGAAACTACAATTCAAGAATGTCATATGCATATGTTCCCAACTTCCATTGATGCGCCCATGTACCCTGTCCCATGCAAACGCCCTCTGGTAAACGCCAGTCATTATCTGGTCTACGCTTCTGCTCAATAGGCAGCTTTAACGACCAGCACACTCGCTCCAAGCTTGCCTTCCCACACCTTCTCAGCAAGCACACCCAGCGTGCTTGCTGCATCGGTCGAGCTCCTGATCTCATCCGCGTCTGTGCGACCCAAGACACCATTGCGAGCAATGTTCCTGCCAAGGACAACAAGATCTCCGGCGTTCTTGGGAGCCTGCCCGACTTCAAGTCTGGCGCGCTCGATGACGTCTGAAACGGGTGAAGAGCAAGACACAGTCTCGAAGACGACGCGGTTGGACATTTCGGCGGGGATGGAGGAGCGGAGAGATGCGAAGAAAGCGGAGTCTTGTTCTAGAGAAGGTTCAATGGTGACGATCTCGCCTGCCTTGCCAGTCGATGTTGGAGTGGATACTGATGTTGACGTTGGTTCAGCGCCTTCGAAATGTACGATGCTAGCAGTAACCTGTGGGTTCTCTGCCAGTTGCAACACCAGTCTCAAAGCCGCACGGTCATCCTTTCCGCCAAAGAATGGGAAGAAGATGTGATGGCTGCGGTCGGCGATGGGTGCTGTGACGTCCTTTTCCCTATTGCTGTGTAATGACACACTACTGACTGTGCGTGTCAATCTCATGTTTCCACCCCTGCGATCTTTGTTCTTGCTTCCGCCAAAGTTCTTGTTGATTAATACGGCAACAGGAACAGTAGACTGCTCGAGCGCATTGTGAACGAAACTTGTGTAGCCTGATGCCGCGAGTTTGTTCTTGGTACCCTTGTCCTCGATGATGGCTTGTTCGGACATACCACCGGTCTCGCTCCATGGCAGCAACAAAAAGTCTGAATCGGACGCGCGCATGCTGAGGGTTTCAGCAAAAGACGACTCGGGTACGACGAGTACTTCACCCGATACAGCAAGGTTGTTGAGGCGTCCGAATGTGCGGAATGTGTTGACGACGGGGTCGTAGGCGGTATATGATTCGATCTCGGACACGGACATGACGGAGGAACCACGATCGGTCAGGTTCAGCAGCCTCAAGCCATAAGCTTCGACGGGGCGGATGGGAGCGACCTCTTCAACGCTAGATTCTCCAGTTGTCTTCGTGGTTCCGCTAAGAGCCTTGGAAGGATGAATCTTTGCGGCTGGCGCATCTGCGTTGCCGCCAAACAGAGAAGTAAAGGCGAGTAGGTTGGGCATGCTGTCCAAACGCAGGTACACAGTCAATCGCTTGATCTTCTCAGCTGCAAGCTTCTCGTAGTGCACACTGTTGCGTGGTGTCTCAGAACCATCGAGTGGTTTGCCAGTGTCCCAATCGATTTCACCACGGCGCCACGACTCTACCTTCTTCTGGTACCAGACTGGGTAGAACAAGGCTGTCAATGGAGAAGAGGCAAAGGTAGTCACCAGTGCCATGACGACGAAAATGGTGAAGGTTCGGGCACTGAGAATCTTTGCGTTCAGGCCAATGTTCTGCAATAGTCAGCTTCATGATACAGAATCAGGCATTTGCGAAGGGACGTACCAAAACGATGAGCTCGACCAATCCCTTACAACTCATCAGAGAACCAATAGCAAAGCACTCTCGCCACAGCATCTTCGTGCTTCGAGCTGCAAGGGTGGCGCTGATGAATTTGGAGAAGAATGCGACGACGACAACTCCAATGACGTATCCCCAAGTAATGCCAGAGTCGAGGAGACCGATGTTCGTGTTGAGTCCGGACAAGGTGAAGTATAGAGGTAGGAACAGTCCGCCGATCAGATCCTCAATCTTCTCTGCGACTTTGATAGCGAATCCACCTTCGTGAGGGCAGATTAGACCAGCCATGAAAGCTCCAAAAATAGGGTGAACACCAATAATGCCAGTGAAAAAAGCAGATCCAAGTGCAATCAGAAGAGTGACACTGATGACACCTTGACTGGGCCCATCTTGGAGCGCACGGTTTTTACGGAGGTACCACACAAAGATTGGTCGAACGGCGTAGACGAGGAATATCATGTACCCTGCACAGGTAAGAAGTACCCAGAGTGCAGACAGTCCAGAACCAGCGTTGACGAGAGCAACGCAAAGGGCGAGCAGGATCCATCCTACGACGTCATTGCCGACACCAGCAGACAAAACGATGACACCGACGGGGGTCATAAGCAGCTTCAATTCAGTAAGAATACGGCAGAGAACAGGGAAAGCCTATTATCAAATTAGCCAATGCAGAGAACATCTGAATCGCTGACGTACTGTGATGGCCATGGCGACACCGATAAACAACATGAAGATTGGAAATTCAATCTGCACTGTGCCGGGCTCGTCTTTGAACTCATTATACAGACCCACTGCGATTGCGCATCCGAGTCCAAATGGAATGGCCATACTGGCGATACCAACATTGAGCGCCACTTTCCAGTTGCTAAGCAAAAAGCGTAAATCGACTTCAAGTCCAATGATGAAGAGAAAGAGTGTTAGACCAATGTTGGCAACCAGATTCAAGTTGGTCATAGACTCCTCCGGAAAAATGGAGTCTTTGAAGCCAGGAATGCGGCCCATAACAGATGGTCCCAAAACGATACCGCCGATAATTTCAGAAATGACACGAGGCTGGCGGAGCTTGGACAAAGGCCAATTGAGCGCTCGGCAAAATATGATGATAATACCCGCCTATAGAATGGTTAGCTAGGTGTTGCTGTACGACCGCATTTTCTCTAGAACACATCAAGCTAGTTGTGGAACACATCCGAGTCCGAAACCAGAAAATAATGGTCGTGTGCTCGAGTGCGACATAACGAGGCGGCTCGTCGCACCACAAAGCTCAATTCGCCACAAGTAACGTGAGACAACAACCTACCTGCACAATAAACAGAATGATCGGATGGTTCTTGTCAAAATGCACCGGGTTCACGCCCTCAAGAATGCCAGCCTGTGGAGGCGCCTTGACGGGCGCAGTAGGCGCGGCGCTCGCCGACGCGATCGACGACATGTTGACGATGGGCGAACGTGTGGGGAAGTGTGTGGATGGTTCGGGATTTCCCCAGATTCAAATCTCCAGGACCCCAGAAAAAGAACAAAGACAAAGAGGTCAACAACAACCTCGTGAAGGTCGGAGCAGGACGCTGGAATGTCTTAAGCCAGAGCGTACAGTCTCGGCGTCAGCCCAGGGCGCGTCGGGGCCTAGACGCAGGTGGTGCAGGTTGACAGTATGCAGGGCGGGCCGGAAGCTAAGAGATGGCGATAAGGTTCAGATCAAAGGCATGTGACGAGCGTGAAGGCAGACCTCGTGGTAGATATACTCGTGAGGGTTGCGCGCATTGTATTCACCGCTCCAAGGACGCGTGGTGGCGTAGGCCTCGTGGGTTGGACATCGTCTGGGCGCTGAGGCGATTAGCGCGAGCGACTCCGGATGTAGTTTAGACGGTTTTTCCACGGCGTTTTTTTGACCTGTTTAGCACACGTTGCCAAGATGTCCAAGGGCTTCTTCGACATGTCGCATGTTCAGATGATGTGGAAATCAAGGTTACCGTGGTGCATGTGCATGATAGAAAGCGCGGGAAGCTGCTACCAGGCGTGCTCTCAGGGTCAGGAAGTAGGCAGAACACTTCCGCCGCAAGCGAGAACTTTCAGCCGCCCCAGACTTCACATCTAATGGTCCAAGTTCCGTGGGAACGCCTTTGCTAACATTGAAGTTTCGAGACTTTCCATCGGATCCAAAAGGTTCCAAGGTTATCTCGATCTCGCAAGATCTGCTCACGTGCAAGTATCGCCTCTATGAAAGGCAAAACGTCCGGGGAAGTGTAGTTCAACTCCACATTGATATCTCCATGCGCGATAGGCGTCCGATGGATGCTGATGATAATTTAAGCTATCGAAGCCGGGCTAGGAGGCAGTTCTCCAGTGTTCCACTCTACCGGAGTAGGACCGAGCACATACTCAAGTGTTCCGCCGTTCGCGAACACATCGTTCCAAGTAACCCATGCCTTGTCCCAACATTTGCCATTCACCTCCACGACTCTGGATATATGGAGAACTGTTGCGATCACCTCCATTTGTAGTGATCGTGAGATCCTTACCGTTGCCGAGACTGATCGACATAGATTCGAACCAAGGAGCCAGGATAAGGAAAGTAGTTTGGCCGGTCAACGGGTAGAGACCGATCATCTGCCACTTTGGCGATTGTCAGTACAGCCATATCATTCTCCACAGGCTGCAGCCTGACAGTCTTCGCAGCAGCCTCAAGACTTGAGCATGCGCTGGCACCGCCATAACTGTCTTGAGGGATGTCGCAAGAATGAGAACGGCCCGACTTACCAGCAAGTTGCTCTCCATAGCTCCAGCATCCGAATTACCAGGCAAGCCGCTCTCCCCGCCATTGTACAAGCCTCCAATGTATCGGCTTCTTTGTACACTCTTCCACTGCTTGCCCTTGACGAAATTGTATAGGAACGGACTCACAAAGCCAGGCTCGTTACCAGCGTCATAAATATTGAGATCAAACAGCTTGTCGATGCGGTCCACGAATCGATCGTCGCCGCCGCAGCGTCTCTTTAATTCGGCCACATCATGAATGGCGTTCAGGCTGTAGATCCAGGAGTTGTCTTCATAGTACGCATCGCCCCAGTAGCAATCACCGCAATCCTCAGGATCTTGGGGCACGAAAGAGCCATTAGCGTTTCGGGGGACCATGAAGCCTGTATGGCCATGTGACGTAGCGTTGGCGTTCCAGTGATTACGCCAGTTCCGGGAACGATTGAGGTAGGTAGCTGCTTCTATGCTCTTGTTCAACCCTGCGGCAACTTGATACAGCCCAAAGTCGTTTGTGGAGTACTCGACTGCTCGAGATACCGCGCGAGTGAAGCGAGGCGTGATGTACCCATATTTCAGCCAATCTGGTAGTGCGCCGCGACCCTCCTTTGTTGAAGCTTCGGGGGCTTTGGCGTCGAAATTGTTATCCGGAACGAACTCAGCGTCCGTTTGCATGGCATTGAAGCCATCTGTCCAATTCACTTTCCCTCGCAAGCCCTTCACAAAAGCATCTGCTAGAACATTGTCTGCGTTTGAGCCGCCCTGGACGCGGCCATTGAAGTTTGATGACCGCCCGTCGGGCAGGAAGCCGTCATGTCTCCAAATGTCGATCAGTGAGCGAATGAATTCTTCGTATGCCGTGGGCTGAATGATTTGAAAGAGTGGAGTCTGACAACGATGTGTGTCCCACAGTGTGAAAACATCATCGTAGTAAGGCTCTGCCGCACTCCATTTCGGATTTTCTCCGGTCCTGTTCGATGGAATAAGCAACATGCCGTACAAAGAGCTGTACAGAAACTGCAGATCGGTCTTGTTGGTTGACGAGATTTGGATCTTGTTGAGAATTTCGTCGTTCCACCTAGCTACTGCAGTGTCCACCAGAATCTGCATCTCGGTGTTCGCAGTGATTTCACTGTCCAAGTTCGCGCATGCCTTTGTAGTCGAGATGAAAGATATGCCCACCCGAGACTTGAGGCTGCTACCAACGAAAGTGAACACGCCTCCAAGGCGTTGACTGCCAGATACAGCAGACCCATTGTAATTTTTGATGGTCGTGTTACCGGTCGTGATGAAAGTGTAGGATTGGGCTGGCGCTTTGTTGAATCTTCCACAGAAGTATATCGTCCAGTCCGGCGACAAGTTCCAGCCGTTATTATAAATTCCGGACCCTGTGTAATGACCACCCTGGGATATGTTGAAGCTGCCACCAGAGTAGTGTTGCTCCCATCCTAGACCTCTGAAGCTAGGTAGAACATGTGATACATCTACAACCACAGATGAGGTGCTGCTGTTTGGGAAAGAGTATGAGTACAATCCTGCGTGTTCGGTTGCAGCAAGCTCCACAGTAATGCCGTTAGAGAGAGACGACTTGTAATAACCCACGCTACCCTGATCTGGTGATGATCGTGGTTGCGAAAAGTTTGCAATTGGGTTCGAAACGTTCCCTGGTACTGGCATTTGATTTACCACGCCGTATTTGGGCGCTCCACCTGTCCCAGATTCGTGCATGATGCTAAACCCCCAGATGTTTCCAGACGGCAGGTATCCAGAATAGGCGTCTACTCTACCCGATTCGACATCAGGACCAAGCTTGACCATTGCAAACGGAGCTGCGACGACGCCTGGAAACCTGTTGCCGCCGCCTTTTGTGCCTTGACTACACGTCGTTAGCCTGGCCTTGTATGAAGAGGTTTTCTACTCACAAAACATTGACATGATCGCTATTCTTGACGTTGCCGCTAGCCACTGTCCTAAGTAGACACTGAGCGACAGCTCCTATTCTGGCTGGAAGCATGTTCGCAACCACGCTGAATCTTCTTGAGGCCTGCTAATGGATCGTAATACTCGAATCGCTGGCCAATTTGGGTGCATACAGCAACACCAGATCTGGGCAATGAGTAATATCGAGAAGAGAAGCGTTGAGAAAGTGGTCCTGAATAGATATTGGATGAAAGACTGCATTACCATCGTGAAAATCGCCGAGCGCCGTGGTATTCTGCATGTCGGATAATGATCTAACCAATCACGGCTCTGGCCGACGACATGTGTAGGGCGGGTGAGGAGCAACCGTGCATACACGTCGGCCAAGATCTGTAATTCCAGTAACGCTCGTCGCTGCTTCTACCAACAATTACGAAGTGCTTACCTTTCGAACGGCAGACGAAGGGTCGTACTTGCGGTATGAAGGCTGACAATAACGTCACTGCTGAAATACATGTAATCTGTCGCATGCGTAATCGGGCCATACAGGAAATATTGAAAGACGTGAAAGAAACGACGGCTGAGATTTAGCATTACTACATGTTATCAATCCAGGGTGCAGCAGCGAGCACTCCAATCAATAGCCTGACGCTATATACATGGCCCTTGCCGTTAAACTTGAGATCCAATTATACTGTATTCGTCTTCAAGCGATTGGATGTTCCTGTTCGCTTCCATCGTAATTGATAAACTCCAGCGGTGGCGGATCGCATGCCTTTTAGCAACACCTTGGTCGACATGGTCTCTACGACTTCCCCCATCCTTCCAAGTTATGAACAACAGGGTTACGGCCCCCTCGAGTGATTATCCACACCACATCTTCAGCGCTATCGTTGACTTCCTGATGCTCGGCATAGGCTGGAATCAGCGCAAAGTCGCCTGGTGCAAGCTCCTGGCGCTTTGAGCCATTGGGGCCGCTCACAATTGCACCGTGACCGCTAGCAGCGTATACAATTGTATCTATAGGGTAATTTAGAAATATGTTCGTGTATAGGGGGCGAGTGGGGTGCTTCTTTTAGAATCGCATACCCTCTTCGCCATGGTGATGCACAGCGCTGGAACTATGCGGTTTGGCAACCATCACTGCTAGCTTTAGCTTCTTGTACACACGAGGCATTGTGGAACAATCTACCTGTCCCGCAAATCTGATCCGACTTGTCAACGATAGCTGGCATACGAATCATGCCATCCGTTTGAGGCCCATCAGGTGCTGTGATCTCGGATTTGCGCTTTACCTGGACTTCTCCTGGCATGGTTGACTACACTGCAGTATACTTGCTTTAGAGAACGATTCAAGATTTGCAGTTAAGACGTGAAGTGGAATGCTGTTCGTCATGTTGGATTATGACGGCAAGCTCAAGCGGACCGCCTCCGCACCAAATGTGCAGAAATAGAGCAATACCGTGAACATCAATCGAAGACAGGCAGCATCGTATCTGAGGTCAGAAAGACTCGCGCATGACCTTCCCGATTAGCATCACACGTTTAATGTCGCACGGCATCTGAACTTGGCTGTCGGCTTGTGAAAAAGGACTGAATTTCAATGCGCCGAGTCACGTGAGGCCGTGGGACCTCGGCATCTCGATGCAGCTCCGAAATGACGTTGACAATCCTCCAACCTCGAAACAGCAACGTCAGCCGTCGGCTTTGGCCGCTGAAGCTAGCAACCAATTACAGCAAACGCATTTCACTCACGAGATCACAAGCCAGCGGCCGCTGCACCCCGAACAGCGCTATTTGCGGCTCTGGTCCGTTTTCGCCAGCATCCCCAGACTTCTTGGCGTGGAGTCGGCTGGCATGTGAAAGGTGTGAAACCGACCACGACTAACCGCCCGTCTCTTATAGTTTCTTTGTCTTGTGATCGTTTCTCCTTCCCATCTACACTCCTTGACTTCATCTCTGTATTTCTCCTTGCTTGCATTGTAGTCATGTCACGACGCTTCTCGGCTGCTGACGTTGCGTCGCATAAGACAGCGAGCGACTTGTACATCATCGTTGACGAGGATGTGTATGATCTGACCAAGTTTCAGGATGAGCATCCTGGAGGCAAGAAGAGTACGTATTCAACTATTTAGTTAGTTCTTCAGAAGTTGACAGACTTTAGTCCTCCAACGTGTCGCAGGCAAGGACGCCTCCAAGCAGTTCTGGAAGTACCACAACGACAGCATTCTCAAGAAGTACCAGAAGCAACTGCAGGTTGGATCGCTAGACACCAAGGCTGCCCCTCCAGCTGCACCAGCTACTAGTGCCAAGGAGGACAAGAAGCCTACCAAAGACATCGTGAAGCCAGAAGCTGTCTCTGGTGCCATTGCGCCTCAGCCAACCGCAGCAGCAGCAGAGGAATCTGAGCCATTTGATGCATTTGGCGACATTGTTCCTTATGCCGACCCAAGTTGGTATCAAACGGTTAGCCTATTTTCGTCAAGTTCTCTGATTGACATTCGCTAACGACAGCCGGCAGTACCACTCACCGTACTACAACGAGACGCACGTCGCCCTTCGCGAAGAAATCCGAGAATGGGTCGAGGAAAAGCTCATGCCGAACGTCACGGAATGGGAAGAGGCTAAGAAGGTTCCTGATGAGATCTTCCGAGACCTGGGTGAACGTGGATACCTGGCAGGCTTGCTAGGTATGCACTACCCCACACAACTCACAGACAAGAGAGTCAAGTGCGTGCCTCCAGAGAAGTGGGATCATTTCCATGAGATGATCGTCACAGACGAGTTGTCCCGCACAGGTAGCGGTGGTCTCGTCTGGAATCTCCTCGGTGGATACGGCATTGGTGCGCCACCGCTTTTCAAGTTCGGCAAGCCTGAACTTATCAAGCGCATCGGACCCGGCCTACTCAAGGGCGAAACGCGCATCTGCTTGGCCATTACCGAGCCTGGTAAGTCAAGGAGATTATAAGGAATTTCTGCGCTAACTCTGTTCAGATGCTGGTAGTGATGTCGCCAATCTGACGTGTGAAGCCAAGCTGTCCGAAGATGGCAAGCACTATATTGTCAACGGCGAGAAGAAGTGGATCACGAACGGAATCTGGTCGGACTACTTTACCACCGCTGTGCGTACCGGTGGTGAAGGCATGAACGGTGTGTCTGTGCTTCTTATTGAGCGCGCCGCCGGTGGTGTGTCTACTCGTAGGATGGACTGCCAGGGTGTCTGGAGCAGTGGCACCACATACATCACATTCGAGGATGTCAAGGTTCCAGTCGAGAATTTGATCGGTAAAGAGAACCAAGGCTTCAAGGTTGTCATGACCAATTTCAACCACGAACGTATTGGTATTATTATCCAAAGTCTGCGCTTTGCCCGAGTGTGTTACGAGGAGAGCGTTAAGTACGCTCACAAGCGCAAGACTTTCGGCAAGCGTCTCATCGACCACCCCGTCATTCGCCTCAAGCTAGCACACATGGCGCGCCAAATCGAAGCCTCCTACAACTGGCTCGAGAACATGGTCTACCAGTGCCAGAAGATGAACGAGATGGAGGCCATGCTCAAGCTTGGTGGTGCCATTGCTGGTTTGAAGGCACAGAGTACCACGACCTTCGAGTTCTGTGCAAGGGAGGCAAGTCAGATCTTCGGTGGTCTGAGTTACAGCCGTGGTGGACAGGGCGCAAAGGTCGAGAGGCTTTACAGGGACGTACGAGCGTACGCTATTCCTGGTGGCAGCGAGGAAATTATGCTGGACTTGAGCATTAGGCAGGCATTGCGTGTGCACAAGGTTTTGGGCATGAAGCTATGAGAGATCGTAATGAAGATCCAGATACCGCCAGATTATTGTATAAACAACTATAGAGGCCTTCAGTTCACAGTTGAAGCGCATCACTATTGACGACACTTGCGAAACTTGTATCAATCCTTGCTGGTGATACTCAACGAGTCATTGCAGCTCGCAACGAGCTCAACAACTACTAGTTTACATGCACTTATTCAGCTCATCAGTCATGGATGGACCTACCTAGACCAGCGACAAAATTTTAAGGTTGCTAAGGTTGCTTAGGTTGCAACTGCCCTGGCAGTATTAAAAGGGGTCTAGTCGTTAGCACTGCGGCTACCTAGGGTAGCGTGGTAGCACCCCGACGATGATGGGGACACGAAGAAGCTAGCGGCGCCCAGTGGGTCTCAATTTGCGGGCCGACGTTTTCAATGCATTCACTCCCTAACCCATTTAATCACGACATCTTGGACGGCAGCTGGGGACGATGTATCCGAGCCTCGGATCTTGCATCCTCTCGCCCCGGCAGGCTATGGCTTCCAGCGGAACCTCCGCCACATCGATGGACACTGCAAACATGTTACCCCTTGTTATATCGCGGAGTCAACTCCGGCGCACCAGTGACAGGTTGCCTGTTAGACTCCACCACTGTCAGCGGGAGGAAGTGCCGCTGTATTGAAGTAAGGTCTTCGGAGGAGGAGTCTCCGGTCATCTCACGATATACCTTGGACATTCCTCCTTCCATTCTCGGGGTACAATTTTTTTCGAAATGCCACCACGTCGAGACAAAGCAGAGGCATCTGCTCCACGGAAAAGAGCGCTCGTTAGCTGCGATCGCTGTAAACTTCGCAGAGCAAGATGCATTCGCGACAATACGGATGAGACATGTGCGGATTGCAGATTAGCTGGAGTGCAGTGCGAATCCAAATTACCCCGGAAACAAAGAGTATATGGGAGTGTAGAGACTCTAAGTCTACGTTACAGAGCTCTCGAAGCTCTAGTTAAAGGGCTATTCCCAGAGGAGAATGTTCAGGATACCAATGTCCTCTTTACACTCGCTGCAGCACGGAACATTGCTATGCCAGACATTGACGATCATACACCTGCAGACATCTTCCACAACAGTACCCAGCGTCCACTACCTTCACAGCCAGCGCGGCTCCCAGATCATACACAATCGACATTACCAGTCCATCAATTGCGACCGTCACCACTCTCCGTGGATCATTCTATTCGATCCATCAGCCCTAGCTCACGAGCGTCTACATCGAAGCACAATCCCTTCGCAGAATCGCAACCAACCAATCGACAAGCTGAGGATATGATTCAAACCCGCCATGGAGTACCTCACTATTTCGGACCTTCAAGTAGCTTTCGACTCGCAAGGACTATCCGAAATCTTTCCGCACGTTGCAAGGCCGTACAGGCCACACAGTCACCAAGACTCCACGAGACTGACTCAAGTAGTTCCGATGCGGCCTCCCGAGCTCCAGGTGTACTTCAAACTACTAGCACCAATCCGTCCGACGAGGAATATACCTTGCCTGATCAACGGAGACCACGATCACCAACTCGAGCGCAGAGGAGGCGATCAAGAACCAAAACCAAAACCTTTGGAGGGAAAGACAGCTCCGATGCTGCCTCCAGACCAGAAACATTCGCGGACTTTTTACCATCCAGATCCTTAGCGGACGCCCTTGTGTCGGCGTACTTCGACCACGTCCACTCGTTCCTCCCGTTATTCAACCGTAGCATCTTCCAATACCAACTGGAAGGCACATACGCGCGACAGTCTGACGCGATCAGCGAACGTCGAGATACCGGGTGGCTCGTCTGCTTATCCTTGGTGTTCGCATTTGGCTGTGAGCAATTACAAGAGCACGATCCGGAGCAAGCAAGCATTCTGCGCGTAAAATACCTCGACATAGCAAAGTCACACCTTCGCATCGTCTTCACTTCAACTTCGCTGGTTAGCATTCAAGCTTTGGTGCTACTGAATCTACACTACCACACCCTTGGGCAAAAGAGCACCTGTTGGCTGCTTGTAGGACTTGCCGCGCGCATGGTCAGTGAATGCCTGTTAAGATTTCACCCGGCTTACTAATTCGTCTTGTAGGCCATCACGTTGGGCATGCACCGAGGCGGCTCGAATAGCGACTTCGATGCCATTGAGCGAAACACGCGCCGGCAGGTCTTCTGGTCGGTGTACGTCTGCGAAAAGATACTATGCAGTATCCTCGGTCGACCCACGGTCATTGACGATGTCGAGATGAAGATGAGAGTCCCAGATACGTCCATGCTCGAAGAGCAAGGAATGTCTGCAGATTTCTTGAACCTCGGCTTCGAACTTACCCAGCTGTCCTACAGGATCCGTCAAAGAGCATATTTTGATCCAATAACGGCAGAAGAACGCTCTCCCACATTACAGGTTGCCGTCAACCTGCTGAGAGAGTGTGACGACTTCTACGCGAGGGTCCCGCGATATTTCTTACCTGACTTGACCTTCCCGGCTCCACCAGGCCAAAAAGTCAAGATCTTGCTACTCTTTGTGTACTACTACCACACTCGATGTATCGTCTCCCGTGATTTTCTGATAATAAAGGTGGAAAGAGATATAGCATACATGGAAAACAGACTGCCACCTATTTCGGAAAACTGGGATACGACATTTGCCCTGAGCGATGACTGTGTGGAATCCGCGCATCAAAGTCTTCGATGTGTCCTGGCTGGTCGGGAGTTTGGAATGATCGGATACTCGTACGTGGACCTCTTTTTCATTTTCCATTCGGTCCTCATTGTTTGCGCCGATTTTCTTGCGCGCCCAAGAGAACAGCAAATCTCAGCCAAGGACCAGGAGAGGAGAGACACGGTGCGCGCCATGCTCGATCACGTCCACGCAATGAAGAGTCTTGCCCCAACATACGGCACCCTCAAGGCCATTGCGATGCAATTCGCCGGCATCACCGGCGTGTACGAGGAGCCCGTCACGCCAGACAACCCTCCAACTCAGACACCGGGTCAATCAACAGAGGAGCAATCAGCGTCGGGCCAGGATAGTGCCATGTCAGAGATCGGAACGCCGGACTTGGAGGAAGACTGGTTTGCTAGTGCCACGAAGAACCTAGGTCTAGACTTCTCCGACCTCAATCAACTCTCTGGCGGCGCGCATCAGGTTGCACAACCTGGCGATATTGGCTTCTCGAGATACGCGCAGCCAATGGCCAACCAGGTGGATGACTGGACTGCGAGGACCCTGAGAGGGATGCACAATTTTGATTGAGCTTCAACGTTCGGGCAAATACAGCAGGGTAATAGCGGACCGATGTAAGCACCGAGCGTCGAGCAGAAAGACGTTGCAATCGCTTCGAGCTCAGCAGGCATCATAGCGCGACTCGCGTGCATAACAATTATCGATGGATATTTATACATAACTCTATCCATCGGACATGTGACGCCGACAAATAACAAGCCTTTTTACGATATACGAGCGTCAAAGCCAAAATGCAAAACGTCCCGGTGAAGCGGTCATGAATCAAAGGGATTAATCAATGACGTCGTGCAACGCCCGCCGATTAGCGAGCCGCTGGCCGCACCGATCAGATCCACATGCATGATCTCGCGCGCATCTGTCCAGAGCGTCTTAACCACGTTGGGATTTTCATGACGCAGCTGTCGACTTGTCATGGCGTTGTTGCTGCGCTGCAAACATGCCATAATACGTTGGGCTCGTCGAGCGATGGCGGATTGATGCGTAGGACTTGATCAACTCTCTTCGATGCGACCTTCACGCGACACTGAGCCCATTTTGCCCACGACGAATATGGCGACGAATGGAAAGAGTAAGGATGCGAGGAAGAGGGTATTGGTGGTTGGTGCTGGAGCGGCGGGTATGTTATGAACATTGACAGGTTGGATTGATGCAGGTGTTGACAGTCGTGATAGGAATGTCTTGTGCACACCACTTGTCGCAACATCCTGAGAAGTTCGATGTTACTCTGATCGACGCGGTGGATTATTGTGGTGGACAGGCGTTTTCGATTCCGATTGATAAGGAACGGCATGGTGCCTCGTGGCTCAATCAAGGTGTGCAGGGTGGAAGTTATATCTTTCATCACACTTTGACTATGTTTGCGAGGCAGGGACATCATGCTGATCCTGTGGATTTACATGTAAGTTGGCCTGAAAGGCAAATATCAGGTGTTCATTGATTGACATTTGCAGGTATCTTTTGGCAAGGACGAAACCTTCTGGACCAATGTCTTCCCTACGGAGTTGCTCGCACGACATCAGAAAGAGATCAAGAGATTCAATCTCATGCTCAAGATTGTGCGGTGGTTTGAACTGTTCTTCGCTTTGATCCCAATCAAGATCCTCTTCAAGATGTTCTTCTTCTCAGAAGAGTTCACGAACACCGTCGCCATGCCCATGATCGCCCTGTTTCTCGGAACCGGAAACGAAACGCCCAATGTACCCAGTATCATTCTCGAGCGCCTATGCACAAGTCCTACGTACGGCATGTGGTATCCTGGTGATAAATTGAGCGTTGCCAGCAACCTCCCGCCCATGGTAGTGTTCCCCAAGTTCAGCGAATTCTACGGAAAATGGAAGGAAGATCTCAAGTCGCGAGGCGTCAACGTTAGGCTTTCAACCGAAGTCACGCGTGTAGTTAAGAGAGATAAGACAGGCGTCACCGTCCGCTTGATCAAGCGTACACCCGTGCCAGACAACCACAACCCAAACTCCGAATGGGTCCCTTCAAACCGCGATCGTGGCGCCGACGCAGGCGCCGAAGAAACCGAAGAGCACTACGACGAGCTCGTTCTCTGCGTGCTGTAAGTTGCCCATCTCCCCATCTCCATCATACCATGTCAAACTAACACTTCCCAGGGCCGACACCGCCAAACGCATCCTCGAACCCACCTCCTCCTACCGCGAGCGCAAAGTTCTCGGCTCCGCGAAATTCTCAGACGACATCACCGTTACCCACTGGGACACCGCATACATGAAGAAGCACTACGAGAACTTCTACGACCCTTCAAAGGCCGTGTCATCCTTGTCGAATAAAGACCAATCCGGGCGCAACGAACGCGCGCAAAAAGCCTTCAAGCCAATGTACTACATCAAAATGTACCCGCAGGACCTGTCCAAGCTCGAGATGTGCTTCGACTGCACAAATTACCAGTCGCAATTCCCGCCTGAAGTCGAATTTGACAAACACGTCTTCCAAACGATTTATCTAAACAAGGATAGAGACGGGCATCTGTGGAGCATGGACGAAATCGACCCGGCCAAGATTATCAGAAAGGATTGGTGGCACCAGTTGTGCCATTCGTGGACACATTACGTCTTCGTCGTGCCCTGGATGATGTTCCTCCAAGGCCGGCGCCGCACGCGCTTCGCTGCATCCTGGACACTGCTCAACGCGCACGAAGTCGCCGTCATGTCGGGCATCGCCGCCGCCGTCGATCTGGGCGCCCAATACCCCGAGGACCTCGAGCGCGACAAGTTCGCGCTGTTGAGTTTCCGCCTGTATTACCTGCTGGCGTATGGCAAGTGGTATAAGAGGCGGGCGGACAAGGAGGGCGAGGGCAAGGACTGGGCCAGCGGGTTGTATGGGAGTGTCTATCGGGGCCCGGGAGTTAGCGAGATTGATAGGTTGCAGTGGAGGCAGGAGAATGGGGTGAAGGAGGAGGGGAAGAGGTATGCGTATCCGGCGGATGCGGGGAGGAGGGCGGATGCGCCGGAGTTGTAAGCGTTGGGTAGAGGAGTAGAGTGAAACTAATGCAGAATGCATTTACTCCATCCTAATGTCTCGATCCTTATCCTCAAAGCTCATAGTTCAGTGTTATGCTTCTTGTTTGGTGCATTCCTGCTCGATCCCAGGGTTGATGAAGATATTAGCCGTGAACATCGACAATGTGGACGTATGTGGAGGTCATAATTTAGTGCGATCGATTCAACGATGGACCGTGGACCGTGGATTATGGATGAAGATGAACAGCTGATGAATCAGTAGCAACGGTGCGTTGTGGAGCATGGGATCAAAACAGCACAGATATGCAAGAGAAAATTTCAATTTTTTCTAGAATGACTATGCGCATGTGCAAAGACACTACAAAAGCTCCTCTCTTTTAATGAATGTGTCGGTCGTGCAATTTAGTAGAAGTAATGAGAATAATAAGAGATGATAAAAGTCAAAACCTTCGATCAAGTACATACTGTGGCTCTTCTCCCACCTGCTCGACTCATTGATTTTGATGGGTTGGTTTGGGTTGGTTTGGTTTTGCGTAGTCTGACCATGAAGTTATGTAGAGCTGGTTGTGCCTTGGTTGACATCGAATGGGAACCATGGTAACCGCCATTCGAAATTGGACTTTGAATTGACTGTTGCGATACCATGGCCGACTTTTCGATGGTCATCAACTTCTTCGAATGTTTCTGTCCGTCCTGTCTGACTTAAGAATCAGCTAGAGCCATCCTTTGCAGTTGCGTATACGATGAACTCTTCTGCCGTTGGGTCCGGCTGGAAAGTGTTCAGTGACATATTGCTTGTTTGCGGGCGCCGTCTTAGGCGTCCATTACCGTGGTACTAGTTCGGTTCCCACAATTTGCGTCCATGTCCACCACGAACAGGGTTCGCGCGTGGGGCAGGTCGCGTGAATGAGTTCGGGTCCAGAGGCTGGTTCGGGTCGTGACGAGGTACGGGTGGGGCACGGAAGGCCGGACCAGGAGCCACATAGGCCCCACGAGGTGCGAAGTTGCCGCGTCCTCGGAAAGGTGGTGGGCCTCCACGACCTCGAGGTGCAACATGTGCTCCGCCACGACCGCCACGCGGCGAGTGGTGCTGGCTTGTACGGCCAAAGTCGTTGGGGTCGAACACGCGCTGGGTGTTGGTCGTCGCTGCGGGACCTTTTGGCGCCTTGAAGAGAACGGCGTCTTCCTCGTCTGAGTCTTCTATGTGTTTGGTAGCAGGGACGTGGCTCGACTTGGGCCGTTCAGCGGCCTTTGTTGGACTGGGGGTCGCAGGCGTCTGCGTCTCTAGCTGCTGCATGGTGAGATGGTTCCTGTATTCGCGATCCTCGCGGGCCACTGCATCGCGGAGCTGCTCCAAGCGCTTAGCCCGGATGCCAAACTTCTGTGCGATGGCTTGCTTCGTAGGGTCGTTGGTGAGGAGGATGAAGGACTCCAGAGCCGCATCTGGGTTGTCCTCTTTGTTGATGCGCCACAGGATATGGCTGAACAGCGGTTGTAGGTAGACGGGGATGGCTCCCTTGGAGACCTTCTCAGTGCGCGGCAGCTCATCGCTGTTACGGGCGGTGCGATCGGGAGACTGCAGACCATGAGCAGCGGCCTCGTCTTCGTGTTTGAATGCTTCAACCGATCTGATGCTCCTGCTCAGAGGCGATTTGGGCGACTTTGGCATCTTGGGCATGTCGTCCATGCTGTGCGTGGAGCTCATCGAGGTCTCGTCCGACACATCGAGGGCGTTGAAGGAGCTCTCCAGATCCTCGTGGTAGTCATCGTCGTCGGACTCACTGTCCTCCATGGACAGCAGGGTCTCAGGCAGAATGAACTTCTCCACCTCGGCCCATGTCGTGTATGTCTCTTCGACGCCTTCAATCTTGACGCGGTTCGCCACCTCGCCGGACACGGATGTTATCTCGTCGAGCCACTTGACGGCTTCACGGGCGTCGGCATTAATGCGCTCGGTGCCCGTCTTCAGGCGGTGCAGCTGAGTGAGTGCTGGCAGTAGAGTTAGTGCGGGAACGGGCGATGACGCTGTCCGGGCGCATACTGTGTAGTGGGACATAGAGGTGTATGGAGCCCTGGGAGACCCATTTGCGCACGCCGTCACGTGTGCTCTTCTTCACGCCGGCGATCAGGGCCGTGTCGTCGACGATGCAGTTGAATATCTTGCGCTGCGGCGGCTCGGGTGCGCGCGTGGTGGCTGCGGGCTTGCCCGTCCGCGGCGGGAAGGTGCTGCGACGCATGTTGGCAGCGCGCCTTGTGGGGGATAATCTGCGGTGTCGCAGGGTAGTGAATGTACCGTCGGGTGCTGTGGGCGCTTAGTACTGGCGTGGTTTGCGAGCCACGGCGGCTTGATGGTTCTCTGCGGGTTTGCTGGGCGCCAGTACCATGGGGGTGTGGGCGCACTATTTCACGGTGTGACCATTATTTTTGCGCCGTGTCGCAGCACAGAAGCGAGTGAGTCAGTCTGGTTCATAGTACGGGCGGAGGCGCTCATGGTCGGGACGAGAGTGGAGAGGTTGGGCAAGTCACCTACCTGTGCCCGCATCATCATCAATGAGGTGCCCACGCCAAGTAATTCCGCCTTCACAGCCACACGCCACATATCAGATCTGACTCTAGCACCAAACACTTGTCTTCGGGTGATAGGAACAGAAAGTGCAGATACGCTTTGTCCGATTCAAAGCCTTATGGCGTGTTCTAATAGCTTTCAACCTCCGCTCGCCTGTCGCCTCCCATGTCCGGCATCCACCCTTTGGGCCTCTCCGAGCCTCGCACAGTCAGCCCATACAGCGCCTTCTCCACCTTGTCTACACACTCGCGCATCACCGGCATCTTCTTCGTCTCCAGCTCGTGCGCAAACTTTGATCCACCCGGTGCATCAAACATCTCAAGCTGCAGCCGAATCGCACGGAGGTCCTCAAGTACAGTTCGTGGCTTGTGAACTTCCTGACCCGATGGGGACTGCTCGTCAATGTCCATTTTGTCGCCTGTGTCTTCTGAACTAGGCTCTTGCTTGAGTCGCTTGTTTGAATTCGTTTGACCTGCTGGCAGTTTGCCGTTTGTGGCCATGGACGTGACTGAGAAGCGCATAAGTTCGCCAGTCATGTCGCAGATGCCAAGGACGTAGTCATCTGGCGTGAGTGATACTGCTGCGTCCTCGCTGCACATAGAAGCAATCTTCTTCTGGGCGTCCTCGTATGAAATGACCGACTGGGTTTCGAGGTAATGGTGGAAGCTCAGTGCCTCCATGAACTCTTGGTTGCCACCAGTGATGTTGTGTGAGTAGCGGTACGCATTCAGTCCTTGGAGGTCGGCACATATGCTCTTGTATTGCTTCTCGATAATCTCCCAGTACTGAGCGTTGTTCTTGACAACAAATGCAGGCACTGGCTGCCCTACGGTGCGGACCCTGGTTCAATCAGCGTGGTTCTTGACGAGCATTGATACATTGTCCTGACCTCTGCAGTGTAAAGATGCTGCAAAACCGTTAGCACTTTTCCACCAAACAAACACCATTCTTCTCACATCTTCTTACTCGCCGCAGTAATGTCCCGCGATGCCTTGATAGTCCTTTCACGGCGATCGTGATGTTCATCCAGCTCTTTCCTGAACCCTTCAAACATGGTCGCGAACCGCGACGGCGGCTGCTCTGGCTTTCCGTCCGCCATTGATTCGTCTCTTGATCTTTTAGGGCCCATCAGTCTGCGAAGTGAGTGTTCATAGGAAAGACGTCAAGGCAAACAACTAATGCAGGAAGGCGACATGGGTTCTGGGAGCTTGACCTTGTCAAGACTAGCGTATCTCGGTTGGTCCTTCCCCTGCAGCAGAACACCTTGCCATCTCGGACATACCATTGGCATCCCATCACTTCTGGACCGGTCCCATGCGTAACGGCTCTCTGCTTGTTCGATGATATAATACGCTCTAGTCCCGACTCGTGCTCTTAGACTTCCGAGCACGATGGCCCTTTCCACCTTCTTTCAATCTCCACGTGCTGTCTTCTCAGCATCTATCATTCTACGCGCTGTCTTTCTCCTATACGGTCTATGGCAAGATGCAAACTCGCCAATGAAGTACACCGATATCGACTATAATGTCTTTACCGATGCGGCACGCTTCATCTCGCATGGCCAATCACCATATGCGCGAGACACCTACCGCTACACGCCCCTTTTGGCCTGGATGATCTACCCTACCGTCTGGCCTGGCAGGTTCTGGTTCTCCTTTGGGAAGGTGCTCTTTGCTGTGGGCGATGTCGCTGCAGGCTGGATGATGTTCCGCATCTTGAAAGAGCACAGGAAAATGAATGATGAGCGGGCGTTGAAGTTTGCGAGCATTTGGCTGCTAAACCCCATGGTCGCGACCATTAGCACGAGAGGAAGTTCCGAAGGCTTGTTGGGTGTTTTTGTTACTGCCCTGCTCTGGGCAGTGCTTGCGAAGCAAATTCCGATTGCTGGGTTTCTGCTGGGATTTGCGGTCCATTTCAAGATCTATCCATTCATCTACGCTGCTTCAATCGTCTGGTGGCTCGATGATGAGAGAGTCGGACAGAAGAAGAACAAGCACCAAAAGGTTACCCAGTTGCCGGCATTCGACCAGATCTTCGCTTTCCTGAACACTGAGCGGATATACCTCGCCATTTCCAGCCTGCTCACTTTTGCCGTCCTTAACATCGCCATGTACGTTATGTACGGCTATCCTTTCCTGGAGCATAGCTACTTTTACCACCTCATCCGGATCGATCACCGACACAACTTCTCGCCATACAACACTCTGCTCTACCTCAATTCTTCTCCACACGCCACCTCATCGTCCTTCGAGCTTGAGCGCTTGGCTTTCGTGCCACAAATACTACTCAGCGCCGTCTTCATCCCAATCGCACTGGCCAAAAAGGACCTGCCAAGCACGATGCTTGCGCAGACTTTCGCGTTTGTGACATTCAACAAGGTATGCACGAGTCAGGTAAGTCGTCCCCATTCTCTTCAGTGTAGCTGTCGGCTGACGTGCAATAGTACTTCCTTTGGTATATGATGTTCCTACCCTATTACCTGCCCGACTCTACGTTACTCCAATCGCCAACAATTGGTGTCTCAGCGCTTGTACTGTGGATCCTCGGCCAATTCGCTTGGCTGCAGCAAGGCTTCCAGCTCGAGTTCAACGGGCACTCGACGTTCGTGCCCGGACTCTTTCTATCCAGCATCCTGTTCTTCCTCGTGAATGTCGGCATATTAGGCATCATCATAGACGACACGAGGAGCAAGCCCAGAAAACATATCAGCACATCGAAGAAGACATCATAACGGGACTAGAAGCAAGACAAGACAAGCACACAATACATGAACAAAAGCACCCAAAAGTCAACCGAAATCTACAATCCCTCCTTCTCCCCCCTCAACAACCGCCCAAACGCCCCCCCCTTCTTCCTCTTCAACTCCCCAAAACTCCCCTGCTCCACAACCCTTCCCTTATCCAACATGATGACATGTTCCGCAATCGCCATCATCTCCCTCGCATGCGTGATAATAACCACAGTCATTTTCCTCCTCTCCTCCTTCCCCTTCGCCACCTCCTCCGCCCAAAACCCGCCACTCCTCGACCGCGGACTCGTCGACGGACTGCCCACGCCCGTCTCCGCGCCGCGTACTAGGTTGCGAATCGTATCGCGCACGATCCCCGCGGACGCTACGTCCAGCGCGCTGGTTGCTTCGTCGAGAATCAGGATATCCGGGCGCCGCACGAGGGCGCGCGCGATGGCTACGCGCTGCGCTTGTCCGCCGGAGAGCCCTGTGCCGCCTTCGCCGATCAGCGTGGCGTACCCGTTGGGCAGGCTGTCGATGAAGTCGGCCACGCCGGCGGCGTCGGCAGCGGCGCGTATACTTTGCATGCTCGCGAGGGGATCGGATGGCGATAAGCCGTATGAAATATTCGAGGCGATGGTGCCCGGGAAGACGGTGGGTGATTGCGAGACAATAGCCATGTGTGAGCGCAAAGAGGTAGTATCCAGCGTCTTCACATTCGTCCCGCCGACACATAGATCGGGCGTGGCGAGCGAGGGCGTGTCGGTCTGGTAGAGTTTCAGCAACAACGATGCTATCGTGGATTTCCCGGAGCCGGAGGAGCCGACGATGGCGGTGCAGCTTCCATGCGGAATGGTGAAGGAGACGTCATGAAGGACTTGGTAGTCCTTGCGCGTGGGGTACGTGAAATTCACGTTGCGGAATTCGATGGCGCCGGTGGATGCGATGGTGATGTTACCAATCAGTTCGTGGGAGGTGGTGGGCATGCGTGCGAGGCGGAGGAGGCGCGAGGCGGCTTCGCGGGAGATGTTGATTTGGGTTATGTAGTGGCCCATGTAGTTTATGTGGTTGACGCTGAGCATGAGGATCAGGAATGTCTCTGTGATTTGCGTGACTGTGTATTGGTTCGTGGATACGAGGACTGCCCCGTAGTAGAAGAGCAGGATAGCGACGAACAGCACGCCGGAGAAATTGAGGCCGAAGATCGAACCCGAGTACAAGGCGCGTTTGATGCCGAGATTGACTGCGTCGGTGGTGGCTTGCTTGTACTTGCGGCGAAAGTAGTCTTCGAGATTGAGACAGCGTACGGTGCGGATATTGATGAACGTCTCGTGGAGCAGCTGGCCGACCTTGTCATCTGCATCATTAGCAAGTCTCTCCCAATGACTACTAATCATATTGTAACTCTTCGTAATAGCGAACAGTATCGGTCCACAAGCCAAAGCAACGAGGGCCAGTTTCCACGAAATCGCCAAACTCCAGACGATAGCGATGCAGATCATGAACATAATGACGATGAAGATGACTGCAAATCGCCCTGGCAGATTTCTCGCCTCCTCTGCAAAGTGATCAAGCGTCTCTGCAAGTCTCGACATGCTATTCTCCTCGCGATCGAAAAATCCCATCGGCTGCATGAGAATGCGTCGCATAGCCTCCACCTTGAGTTCGTGCGCCCAAGACTGCGCGACAGAATCGGCGAGGTAGAAGAGCAAATACGCCGCAACACCATCGAGTACAGCGATCCCGAGGATGGACATGGCATACGTAAGCGAGCGTTTCGTCTGATCCTCCGAGTTGTAGAAAGTAGTCAAAAGCTGCGCGAAAACCCAAGCAAACACTGGGGTGCAACTAGCATGTATGACAGCGCAGAAGAAGGCCATGGTGAGAAGTATGCGAGATCGCCAGGGTAGAACTGGCCAGACGGACTTGAAGATGTCCATGATGGCGAGGGATTCGGTGGATACAGCTTGCTCCGAATCACGATAAGGATGGTGCAGGTGCAGCTTTGATCGCAGCTTATGCCGTCTAGTCGCTTTCACGGGCTGCGACTTGTGGTTCGCAGACACAGAGAGAGGTCGAGGATATGCAGGTACTCGTGAATTTCGGGGCGAATCTTGTCTCAACGACACCACAGATATCGGGCGTGATCCATGCTCCTGCGACGACGACATGGACATTGGGCGATTGTACGCAATGACACCAGAGATACGCTTGTTCAGTGGCGATCCTGAGTTAAATGCGCGGAGCGGGTGTTCGCCAGGCGCTGAAGACGGCATACCAGGAGGAGGCTTCATGCCTGCCATATTAATCGATGCGATAGATGTTCTTTTCGAGGCTATGGCGCTCGAAGTCTCCGAATGGTCTTTGTTGTTACGGCGCTTGTCCAGGCCTCCCAGAAAGCCGCCGGCGAACGACTCGCGGCCTTTCTGGATGAAAGGCGATAGAACGTTCTCTCCGAATAAGACTGCAGACATTGGACGATGCATGGGCCTATGAAGATTCCACGAGTCGTCTTGGTACATTGACAAAATGTCGTCCGTCTCTTCATTGTAGTCTGAGTAGTCTTCATTAGCACTGGCATTCTGTTCTTCATGATCGTGAGACGCGACCATAGTTTGAAAGGCTCCAATCCTGTTCTCAAGTTCCTTGCGGTAGCCCTCCTGCACCACCTGAGCGTTCTCCATCAAGTAGAGGAAGTCATCAGACTGAATTTGGGAGATATCGTGCGTGATGACTACAGTAGTCTTCCCTTTGCGCCAAGTTCGTATTGCCTGAAGAATGGTGCCCCTAGTGATGTAGTCGAGAGCGCTCGTTGACTCATCTAGAATGAGAACTGGTGTGTCGCGCACTTTTGCACGGGCCAGTGCCATTCTTTGTTTCTGACCTCCACTCAATGCACTGCCCTTCATGCCTAGCTCGGTTTTCAGACCATCAGGAAGGTCTTGGACGATGGGATCTAGCATTGCAAACCTGATTGCTTCTTCGATCTCGTGCAAGGCGATGGTGTCGCCCGGTCGACCCAGCGCTACGTTATGGTCAATGGTGTCGTTGAAAAGCACGCTATGCTGCTCAACAAGGGTGATGTTGTTTCGAAGCCATTTGACATCGAGCTCGTCGAGAGGAAGACTGTCCAGTAGGATGCATCCGGATGTGGGTTGGTAGAACCGCACGAGTAGCTGACCGAGAGTACTCTTGCCGGATCCACTCTTTCCAATGACGAAAGTTGTCTCTCCTGCCGGGAAGAACAAGGAGATATTTCTGATCGCAATCTCCTCCATACGGGTTGGATACGAGAACGTGACCTACATGATCAGCGAATGCATCTCGATAGTAATTACGTGGATAATATACCTGTCGAAACTCGATGTCACCGGGGCATCGGACAGGCTTCAGAGTGCCGTCCATCTCATGGTTCTGGTCGCTTGCAGAGATCTGGTGCATGAGCAACCCAAGATGCGCGCCGGCACTTCTGCCCTTCTGCATCACAATAAACTGTGGCAGAAATGCAGTGATACCCTGGATAGCCATCAAAGCAGCCCAAAATGTGGTAATGACCTGCCCAATGCTCCTGTCCCCCTGCCTTACAAGATGAGTACCATACCAAAATCCCTGGACGAAGACGCTGAGTGTGAAGAATTGCATGACACCAATCTGTAGGGATCGCAGGTTGGCCACACGCATGTATATAGTCGCTGCGAGTGCGGTGATATCGGTGAAGACTTTGAGCTCATAGCGTTCGCCGTTGAAGCATTTGACGGTCTCGATGCTCTGTACCGCGTTCGTTATGTACTTGAGAGCTGTTTGTAGCTTATCTTCTTGCTCGTTTGCGCGGATCGATAGCCGGTGCGCAATGAATGCTTGGACGAGATAAATTAGTGGAACAGTGCAGAGAATGACAAGCGTGAGGTTCCAGGAGTAGAAGAAAGCTACTCCAAGAGCTCCGAGTCCTTGAATGATACATTGAGTGCCTTCACCCATAGTTGCCGACACAGAGAGTTGTAGGTCGCGGATATGCCTGAAACTTTTAGCTATGGAAGACGCGTGGTACCAAAGTTTCCGTTGGCTGACTTACATTTGGATCGCTGGCAGAAATGCTGCAATACCAGTCTCGCGAGTGTCATACCATGCCATGTCCTTTTGGATCAATGCATTGAATATTTTGTTGCGGGCGCTTCTGGCCTGTAGCTCGCCGAATGTAAGGAAAAAGAAGAAGTAGAAACTGTTGGCCATCCAGTTGAGCGAAGCGATGCCAGTAAGTATGAGGCAGTAATTCGTAACGCTGCGACGGAGCCCGCTGCTATCCAGCTTTCCCGCACCATAATCTGTATAGTCGCGGAAGATGAGACCGTAGATGATTGCAAACACAGGTAGTGTAGCTGCGGCGATGAAGGCGCTGAAGAGAGCACCAGAGAGTATTGGAAGGTGCTTTTTGGTTGTGAATCCAAATAGCGCTTTCCAGCCGACTTTTACCATGTACTCGTGCTCCTCTACTGCTTGTTGACTTTTCTGCTCCGGCTCGTTACTGGTATCCGAGGCTGTTGGTCGAGCCATAATTTGGATCGGTATGTGCCGCTCTATCGAGAGCGTACCGATTCTCAATTGCAAGTATTTAGAAGACATTGAACACATGTCGTAGAATACAGTCAGGTGAAAGTAAGGGTGTCCATTGTCGGACTAGCGTGTATTGCGTTTCGGGAAGATGTTTTCATCGGTTACTTTGTCTAGTCTTAGCATTGTTCCTTGAAAGCGAAGTCGAGTGTAAGCCACAGACCCATGCGCAACGCAACGAACAGCAGATTACTGAGGATGTATTGTGTAGGCTGCGGTCAGAGATATTACATATGCAATGCGCTGGATGCATAGATGGATCATTCATTCACCTCAGCTGTGCCGTTTTGCTCGGCAACTTTTGATGTTCACTATCTACTGTCGCTGAGCAGCTTTGCGATCGCTCCGACGCTTTCCAATCGCTGCGAGGGGCGACACACGGTAAGTGCTGGGAAACAAAGAGCATCTGGTACGAGTACCAAGGCTGACCCATTGTCGTCAAGATGGCGCTTCACATCAGTGGCGAAGGAATGACTGGAAGATTTGGCAGGTGATATCTCTCTCAAAGATAATTTCAGGTTCTTATTTGCTCTCCGCCTTCGCCTTCTCGTGGATCCAGTCGTTGAGGCCCTCGCGGTTACTGTTGCGGTCAGCTATACATCCCCTCTAGACGAGCATTCGTACTGACCGGACAATTTCGATAGCGTAGAACTGCATGCGCACTGCGAAAATGGTCTCGTCCTGGCCGTACTCGAACTTGGGATTTGTCCGGATGACAGTGCCGAAGTTGTAGTCGTCGATCTTCTTCTCGTAGACGTTGATGAAGTTGCGCCACTTCTCTTTGCCCTCTTTGCTCTTCATCTCGTCCTCATCTATTGTCGCCTTGGGGTCAAAGTCTGGGAATTCCTTCTTGAAGTGCTCGTAGATTTCATCGTCGAATTTAGTCAGGCGCAGCTTCGAGCCGGGCACTTTCTCGAGAATCTTCCAGTATGTCTCGATGTGCTGGACGACTGCGCGGTCCTGTCAGCAGTGGAGGATGAATCGCGCAAGTGATGCTACCTTTGACGGCGAATGCCTGCTCGACCTATGCCTTCGTTAGTTGTGACTAAGGTTACACACAGTGGCTTCGTGATGCGCTCGCCGTACCTGCTCGGAGTTGTCCGTGTCCTCAGCGTTGAGGCCCGGCTGGTGCTAGAGACATGTCGGGCGGTGACTTTCTACTGCGACTACGGGTAGAGAAAGAGTGAATACAGGCTGTGCTATTCCCTGGGTATGCGCGCGCAATGCGATGTATAAATTTCGTCGGGTTGCGTCATACTCCGGCTGGCTAACTTAACCCCACCAAAGCCTTCCCGAAGTCCAACAGCCACAGGTGGGGGAGAATTTCCAACATTGACTGTGGCGCAACGAAATGACACCGACCCTGCATGTGAGCATCGTATATCCTACAGAGTCGTCTAGATGTAACTGATCTCTATAGCATGAATGTACACGTCTTCCAGTGACGGCATTGGCCTCCTGCGGTGCCCTGCTTGTCGCCGCAGAAGGACCATTCTTGCGATTTTATGACGCCAAAAGTTCGCGGTATATCGCGTCAAAACGCGTCTTCAAAGCTCATGCAGTGCATGGTATCTCCGTGTACTCCGAAACTTATGATGATGTGATCAAACTGGTAGTATGGGGCGGTTGCCTCGTTCGGGCCCTTGAGGTCAAATTTACCCCAAGAGTCGACTTTCATGAGACGCAACTGGACGCCTGCCTGTCTGCCGTCGCAAGGTCCCCGGATTGGATTCTTGATTTAGCTCCACGTTTCAGCAGCCTTGAAGATGCTTCCGAGATCGAGCAAGGGATATGTGTTGCGGTTACAGCCCACAACGCACTTGTGCAGGTTACTATACATCGCCAGCGCAAGGAGATCGAACCTGAAAAGTGCGTTGTCAAGTAACTGGAATCTGCAATTTACTGACTCGTGCTACAGAGCATTTGCGCTGTCTTTGTCAGAGCTAACATCAAGTTCTCGATCCATATTGTACTCGGCCCATGTCTTTTGGGAATCCGAAAACTGTGTGCTGGTAGCCGCAGGAACTGCATTTGGGGAGATCATGTACTGGTCTTGGAATCAAGACGCGGATGCCGGATCAAACTCTCGCGTACATCGAGTATTCTTAGGCCACGAAGGCTCTATTTTCGGAGTCCGCATATCCAAGGAACTGCCTTCAGGGTGTTGCCAAACCCTCAAGCGCATCATCGCAAGCTGTAGCGACGATCGCACAATCCGAATATGGGACGTTTCAGATGTTGCGGTTCATGATTCTCATAGAGTAACTTCTGTTCCAGTCAAAGATTCTGAGAGGACCCAACATACTGGCTTTAGCAATGCAGCGTTTGACCCGAATTCGTTCTCAAGTTCGCAGTGTCTAGCCATTGGCTGGGGTCATGCGTCCCGGGTTTGGAACGTACAATTTCTGGAGTCCACGCCATGTGAAGGAGCCCTCCTACTCGTATCTACAGGCGAGGACGCATCATCTAGGACTTGGAAACTGACCTTAGACAAGAATGAAGGAGCAATCTTACCGTACCAACTACTGCAGCAGGACTCTGCTGCCCACCACAGTGGTAAAAACATGTGGTCAAGCGCTATCTATGGTGAGCCAGTAAGGCGTCAGCATGTAGTCTGTGGTGCCGCCGATTCTAAGATTACAAGTCATCCGCTTGTCCGCGTTTCAGAGAAGTCGCGAGAGAGCAGAGTACAGGAGTACACTATGCCTGACATTCTGGCATTAGCTCAAATGCTTACGCAACAGCCCAACCAAACCACAGTCCAACGGAATCGGACGTCCTCAAAAAGGGCAGATTTTCTCCGGAGCTATAGCTTTCTCGACCACGAATCATTTCTGCTCACCACAAACTCTGGCAACATTCTTCTCGGGTCTCTGCGATCACGGAAAAATTCGGGGGGTCCAAGCGGACTAGCAGGAGCCACGTTCATCGATCAGTTAGACGATCTTTGTGGCTACTCTGTCTGTAAAGGCGACACCAATGCTGGAGTGGCATTCGTTGGTGGATCTACTGGCGTCGTCTACATGTACATCAAAGCCACCAACCGATTGTCCAAAGTTGAGTCTTTCGATGCGAAGATTGGGGAGATGTTCGTAACGAACGTAGCCCATATTGACAAACGCATAACGGTAGCCCTCCTGGTCACTCTTGTGGGGATGCAAGAAGCGCAGCTTCTGTTTGTGGAAGTCGCCGCGGACTCCAAACCGTGTGTCACTAGAGCCGTCACAGTCCCATTGTCAGACCTACCGATTGGCTCGATGGTTACTAGTGTGACGCTCACCTCGTCCTTTGGAGCTATGTTCCTTCACCTTGGGTTCCGACGTGGGTCGATCGTAGTGTACAGCATCCCTGGTGGTGAATCTGAAGACAGCAACCGCGTGAAATCGTTCAGAGCTATAGATAAAGTGCACGGGGAGGAAACGGTCACTTCTCTACATTGGACGACATCGCCACAGGATACCTTCGTCGGTTATCTAGCGTCCGTTGGAAGAGATGGATGTCTCGCTATACACCTCCTGGATCTGCACGCGAATGTCTTCAAGTTAGTACACAACTCAACACTACCCATTGGACCTAATATCGAAGGGACTATTCTTCAAACACGGACCATCTCCTCGTTCACGGATTTTCGAGCAAAAAAATGGGTGCTTTACGACGTGACGTCTGAAGACGAAATCATGGGCATCGAAACTGGTGGCGCACATCGAAGTTGGGCCTTTCAGCCAGACCAAGGAGCTCAGGGAGGAGGGTCGTTGGTATGGACAAGGGCATCCAGCCTGCACATACGCAGCCAGACAGGGCCAAACCACAATGTCATCAGATCAGGTGGACACGGCCGCGAGATCAAAGCTGTGGCGGCATCGCAAGGAGCTCATGGCCAACTCATTGCGACGGGAGCAGAAGACACCGATATCAAAATATTCCCAGTATGTTGCTGGGGAGCTGCATTGCCCAACGTACGTTGCGGAAACACACCACGGGTATACAGCATCTACAATGGTCCGACGACGGCGAGTATCTCTTCAGCAGTGGTGGTTGCGAAGAGTTCTATATCTGGAGGATAAATCACTTGCCATTGGCTTTTGGCGCAGGTGTTGTATGTGAGTTTATATACACCCCAGAAAGTGAGCATGCCGACTTGCGGATAATGTCTTTTGACGTGCACAAGCGCGGCCTTGAGTATGACATTGCTATGGTGTTCTCAGATTCTAGCATCAAGGTAACGCGTCTTTCCAGCCATTCTTGAGCGTACTAATACAAGACCAGGTGTATAAATATAATCCTTTGCGTGTCGACGTCAGGTGGCAGGCAATCGCTCAAGGCCTCTACTTCACGTCCTGTTTGACACAATGCGTGTTTCTTGACACCGAAAGCCTTTTGACAGTAGGCACCGATGGGCACACCGCTATCTGGCCCTTGTCTAGCGAAGGAACACGGCCAACAGCAGACTCGAAAACACAAACCCTCAGCTGGCAGCAACCTGTGCGAATCCACCAGAGCTCGTCGAAGGCCATGGCTTCACACCAGCACGATGCGTCTACGAAGCTCATTGTCTCTGGTGGAGATGACGGTAGCACAGCCATAATGCTCCTCTCGACCACATCCTTCAAAAAGACATACGCAGCCGCACCCGTACTTTTGAACCGGACTCACGCATCAGCAGTCACAGCGTGCGCTATCATGCAGCAAGGAGAGCGGACTTTCATCGTCACGTCCGGGAATGATCAGTGGTTGAGGTTGTGGGAGGTTTCTGTTTGTGACCAAGAGGGCGATATCAGGACTCCTGCAGGAAACACATATGACAAGAGTATATCAGACGTTCGAAGGCTGGGCAAGATCAAGACCAATGTAGCTGATGTTTCAAGCATTGCGGTGCTAGAAGCACATCAAGAGGAAGGGGTCGCGAGAGTATTGGTATGCGGCGTCGGGATGGAAGTCATAAGACTGGAGTGGGATGTCAATAACGGTACCTAAGAACCATACAAAGATAGACAGCTGGCAGACACAGGTTTGAGAATCGCATCATGAATTCGTGGTCCACACTTCTGATTCGTCGCGGGGATTTGACGCTAGGCCGGCACTGATGGCTGTTGTTGTGGCAACGGCTTATGTACGCAGCTCGCGCATTGACAACAAGACGCACACGATCGCCATCTCCAACTCCAGACATCTTCCTCACCCCACACAACGACACCACGACACCACGACACACACCGGCCAAAGCGAACATCGATACCACAAAATGGTCGCTACACGTCGCGGTGCGAAAAAGGCCGCTGAGCCCGCGCCTGCCGCTCCTACGCTCAATGCGCCCCCAAAGCGCGGTGGTAGGAAGAAGGCAGTCGTCGAAGAAGCTGCACCCGAACCCGCGCCTGCCGCCAAACCCATCAAGGCTGCTGTATCCAAGCGCAAGGCCAAGGCACAGCCTGAGGCCGCTGAGCTGCCCGCCGCAAAGAAGCCCACCATGAACACAAAAGCGACGCGTGCCGCCAAAGTTGAGACAAAAGCAGCGCCCGCCCCAGCTGCACCCAAGAGGGCCACTCGCGGCAAGAAGATCGTCGAGCCCGAAGCCATCGAAGAGCCTGCCGTCGTCGAAGAGGCTCCCAAGCCCGCTGCCACTCGCGGTCGCAAAGCTGCAGTCAAGAAGGCGCCCGCCCCCAAGATCGAGGAGCCTGTCGTCGAAGAGCCTGCTATCGAAGAAGAGCCAGCAGCTGCTGACGAACCCATGGTCGATGAAGCTCCCAAGCCAGCGACTCGCGGCCGCAACGTGCCAGCAAAGAAAACTGCCGTCGCCAAGCACATGAAGGCTGCACCCCACAAAGCACCCATCGCCGTCAAGCCAGCACCGCGTGCGCGCAAAGCTGCTGCACCCAAGCCTTCATTGCCACCTCCAGTTGCTGCCACCAGGGCCACCCGCGGTCGCAATGTCGCCGCCCCAGCACAAGACTCGCCGCTGAAGGCACCCGCGCGCAAGCCAGCAAAAAAGGCTGCCGCCGTCGTCGCAAAGGCTCAGCCCGCAGTTGTTGCTGAAGCTGCGCCGTCACTAGTCGCAGAGGCTGAGCCTGCTGTCAACGCGAAAGCTACACCGTCACCATCGCCCGTCGCAAAGGCTGAGCCTGCGACTGTCGAGGAGCCGTTCACTGAGTTCCCCGGCTACCCTACCACACCTGCACACATCGCCGCGCCCATGTCAACAAAAGACGCTCTTGCAGCCCTGCCCAGTTATCCAAAGACACCCGCTCACATCGTCGCGCCCATTGGCAACAAGGCCATGCTCGCTGAGATGCCCGGTTACCCAAAGACACCCGCTCACATCAGGGCGCCCATCTCGGTACAGGCTGCCATGAATGAGATGCCCGGCTACCCCAAGACTCCAGCCCACATCACGGCACCAGTCCTGCCTTTGGTCGCTGAGACTGAGGAGGTCAAGGAGGACTTGGTGGAGTATGTCAACACTCCCGCACATGTAGATGCTATGAACACCGAGGACAATGCTATGAATGAGCTACCCGATTACCCAGAGACACCTGCACACATTCAAGCTCCTCTGGCCAACAAGGAGGCCCTCAACGAGTTGCCCGATTACCCCAAGACTCCCGCACACATCCAAGCACCCATGAGCTCAAGGAAGGCTCTTGGCGAGCTGCCCGTCGACTACATCAGGACGCCGGCGCATGTGGTTGCTGCAAGCACGCCCAGCACCATCGGCCTTTCTAAACTGACTGCCGACTGCTTCGGCACGCCCCTTCACCGTCCTTCGCCTATGCCTATCATCGAGGAGTCTGCGGCTGTGCCCGAGGACCCCTCCGAACTGACTGCTGACTGCTCCGGCACGCCATTCCACGTCTCTTCGCCCGTCATCGCTGAGGAGGTTGCAGCTGAAGCGGCATCCGAGGGCCCCGAGACACCTCAGAAGCTTGTGTGGGGTGTCACGAACCAGGAGGCCTTCAACGAGCTGCCAGAGTACCCCAAGACGCCACAGCATATTGCCGCGCCGAGTCGAGCAACAAGGCCGCTCTTGCTGAACTACCCAGCTACCCTG